ATGATGATTTTTATCAAACTTGTATATTTAAGTTCAGTAATTTCACTTAAATAACAATTAATAGGTAATTATCATTGTCATTTAAGTGAAATTACTGAACTTAAATATACAAGCTAGATAAAAATCATCATTAAAGAAGAAAATTTCAAATGGCATTTAGAGGCTTTTGCATCTGAACCCTTCATATATACACACAATGAGGCATCTATGTGTTTTATATACACACACACACACATAGATGCCTCATTAGCGGTTGTTTCTATGGGTTGCTTTACTTTAGCCGTCTGCCATTTTGTAACAGTCAAGGCCGGTCCGTAAACATTCGAGAGCAAGATGACTGAGCAACTGTAGTTAGACGCATGTATGAATAACAAAAGATTTTGTAAAAACGAATATAATACAAGATGAAGGTGTCAGCTAACACAACGACAGTGTAAGTTACCATAATAAAAATAAAAACATTAAAAAGTACCATAGTAAATGTGTAATATTGAGTTAATAAAAACGACATTCAACACATTCTCACCTCGCAAATCTAAAATGTGCTAACAACTTAATAAAACATTTCAACAATAGGCTAAATCGTGCTAGCAAATCTTGCTAAAACATGTTAGCAATGTGCTAAATCATGCTAACAACATGATAAAACATTCTATCAATGTGCTAAATCGCGTTAGCAACATGCTAAACCAGCAATGTGATAACTCATGCTACAAACATGCTAACAACATGCTAAATTATGCTACCAATGTGTTAAATTATGCTAAAACATGCTGGCTATGTGCTAATCACGTTAGAAACATGCTAGGAAGCGTGCTAAAACAACTGAACGTGTTATAATATGCTCGCAACTTATGTGTTAGCACATGTTTATAACATTTTATTGACTTCTTTGAGCAAAATCTTAAAGTTGTTTCAAACTTTCAGTTTTATCGAGTCAACATCAAAGTTAGTCATCAAACTTTACTAATCTAGTTTTAAAAGTCCAGTTTCAGCAGTAAAATATTCAATATTTGAAGAGTTCAGATGCAAAAGCCTCTAAATGCCATTTGAAATTTTCTTCTAAAATGACCATTTTTATCAAGCTTGTATATTTAAGTTCAGTAATTTCACTTAAACGACAATTAATAGGTAATCTTCATTGCCATTTAGGTGAAATTACTGAACTTAAATATACAAGCTTGATAAAAATGACCATTTTAGAAGAAAATTTCAAATGGCACTTAGAGGCTTTTGCATCTGAACTCTTCATTTCTTAAATTTCCAGAAGTACAAAAATGTTATGTTTTCAGGCACTTTGCAAGACAGGTTAATCTCAGTGGTCAGTTATGTAAAAACATCACAATGTCTTGAGTAAGTACAAACTGTGAGCAAAACACTTTTTTGCCGCTTCTCAGATAGCAAACTGACATTGAATCAACGTGGAAATATGACATCGAAACAACGTTGATCTGACATTGTTTTGCTCATCGAATTAACATTGAACCAACGTCAGACGCGTCATTCTTTCAAAACTAACGGAAAATCAACTTGAAATCAACGCGTTGTTTCAACGTTATGAAAGCAAACCAATTTTCGATTTCATTTAGCTTTGAAGAATGCCGCGTCTGACGTTGGTTCAACGTTAATTCGATGAGCAAAATCAACGTTGTTTCAATGTCATGAGAGACGTCGTTTCCACGTTGATTCAATGTCAGTTTGCTGTCTGGGTTAGGTCTACGTCAACTTCAAGATATTATAGTAGATCAAATTGTAGGGCAATAAATAGAGTAGCCTATGCTATTTCAAAATCACTGTATTATGATTTCTTTTGCATAACTATCTGTACACGCCCAGAAACCACTGCCAAAAATACTCACCCGGATCTCCTCTCCTTTGTAATCCCTTCGGCAAACTGTGCATGTGGCCGTGGCGAATGTGCCATGTGCCTCAACCAACATGTGTGGGGGAATGCCAGCCACTGAAATCAATGAAAGGTAAATAACATTTATCACTGATTTACACCGATTCCAGGCATGCACGTGTGGACGGACGGTGTCACTCACTTCGTTCCAGTCCATCAATGTTTTGCGTGTACATCCTGAGCAGTTGCCCCTTATCGTGAAGCAGGCGAATGAAGTAGTGTGTCAGATTGGGTTGGTAATTACCAGGATACAGCTCTTTGGCTAGAGCGAAAAAAGGGTTTGGATTGTGATGGAAGTAATTTATTTCAAATATGGCCTCTGCATAGGGTAGATTGTACTGTTGGAGGTTGTCATAAAGGCCACTGCCAGGCGATCTGTGGGAGAAAAGTTGCAACCATCTCAAAGGTGGATTCGGGGTGTAACGGTAGACAGAAGTCACGGTTCCGTACGCATCTCGGTTTTGGGGTTGCCGTTTTGTACAATATATAAGATAAGATCGGCTTTATTGTCTCGAAGGAAATTTGTCTTGGGCACATACTGTTTAAATACAACTGACATACATACAACATCCTATCAACAGTTCTAAACCAACTAAATTACACAGTGCAACCCATACAACCACATATAATCATTTTAAAAAATTTGGTAACTAAATGGGTACCTTGCCATGTACAGAGGGTCAAAGTTCTCAAAGTGGTTGAGTCTGGGAAAAAAAATAGGAAAAAGCAACAGATCCCCAATGCTCGGGTTTCTTTTCATTTATTTTATTCAGTTTGTTCCACTTAGTGGCATTTAGTCCAGTACGGTCTCCTTTAGTGTATTTAGCACTGAGCAGTAAACAGAATACAAGTCTTGCAAAAGACTATTTGGTTTTTGATCACAACGCAAGCATCTTATCTTATAAAAGTACTAATTAAATTGAATAATGCAAAATAAAACGTGTGCGGAGATTCGTTTTCTATGCGCGTGAGAGTGACAATGGCGGATGCACAAAGTTCAATGTAATAATCTCGTAAAGACGAGCGAGGAGGAGAAAAAGAGTCGACTTCATCTTTCCACGAGGATTCATATTTCCTGATCTGAAGATCTAAACATATTTAGATAGAAAGGAAATCGCAATTTTTTTTCCGCAAACGCACAAGAGGTCACTTCCGGTGACCGAAGCGCCCACAACCTCAGATCACTTGGACATGGCTGTTGTTACAAGAGGTAAAAACTATATAAATACACACAAGCCGCTCGTTTCGTGTCTTAGGCCATCAATGTGTAGGCCTACTTACATAAACGAGTCATTAAATCATGTTTAATTTGGACTTCTCTGTGCATGCTCTTTGAGGTGGTGACCATAGACCTCCATTATATGACTGACAGACAAGAACGGTTTGACCTAAAAATATTAAAATTGAAAATTCTGTGGAAACAAAGACACCTACATCGTGGATGCCCTTGAGATAAGCTAAAACATATCAAAAATTAATTTCAAAGTGAACTTCCCCTTTAATGCACCGAAACATGACAGTTTGGATTTAATACATGTACCATTACACCCCTAATTAGGGGACAAGAGTCTTTTGAGTCCTACTTTACCTGAAGTCTGGGATTCCACTGGGAGTGCTGATGCCCGCTCCTGCCATCACCACAACCCTTTTGAACTTGTTTTCTTTGATATTTTCTGCAATATCCTCCAGGGTCTGTTGGTGAACATTGTCACGGCTTCCTCCAAACAGCCCTCGAGTTCCCACACATGCAGTTCTATCGGGTCAAAATGTTTCAAAAATTAACTTTCACTGAGAGATTTCTGTAATGAAAGACAGAAAGAAAACAATACTCACGGACAATAAATGAATTGTGAAAGAAATGCAGCATTCTTCTGTGCATGACGTGTCGAAATCTTTTGATTTGCAAGGTTTGTCCTTGACAGATCTGAGGAAAAGTGGGATATTATTCTAAGACTCAAGGGTAGAAAATAATAATAATAATAACACAGACCAACCACCTACAATACTATGCACATTGCACATTTAAAAATAGCAGATTTGCTGCTTCTCCGGTATGTTTTAATGATACTTTTACTCGAAGATAAAGACTAGTGCAGAAACAGTTATTAATAATCACAATATTTTCTATAAATGTCCAGATAACGACGAATGTCACTATTTGAAATATGATTGTACAGCAGAAACATAATGACTTTTAATAACAAGAAAGTACTTTGTGTAACGTTAGTTGACAGTCCTCTTCTCGACAAGAATGTCTCTGTAAAACAGCGTCTGCACATGTTTAAAAGGGAAGGTTTATAAGACAGCATAATTGACTATGGTATGGCGGAGCTCGTTGTTTGTCAAAAGCCGTACATTATTTCGGCGAATTTGTAGTAGTAAACAAATACATGCACGAATGGCCAGCGGGTTGCCAGGTCTGCACAACAAAACCCGCCCAATTGCAAAAAACAAAGGTGATGCAACCCAATCATGGCAACAGTGATTCATTCCCCACGGACTTGGCAACACTGACGTCAGACTGGTGACGCACTTATTACCGTAACAACTAAATCGCGAATCCATAAAAATTATGTGTCGGATAACACATATTGTCCATTCATTGACATTTATCTATGCGCTATAATATATTCTATCGATACAAATTGGTTGTCTCGTGGTTACGGCAGACATTTAAATAAGCTTAATGATTGACTGATTTATGTCAAGATTTATTTTCGTAAATACTACAGTAATTACGACTGAAGTCTGACAGGTTTTTTAGTGTTATCATTATTCTTGTTGATGGAATATTGCAATGATGATCAAATGAATACAAATAAAGATTTGAATAGATGAGTTGTCAAAAAAAATTTAATCGAATAATTTTTCATTAAATGCAAATATGTTTCTTGGCTTAGCATGTGTTTTTTAGGTAACTAGTTGTAGGTCATCACGGTCCATATTCTAATATATATTTGTTTCGCCAAAAACATATGCGACCTTTGGTACTCTTGTAGTTGTAGATCCTTATTTTTAATGCATTTTGCGATTTTGGCTATATCAGCTGAGTAAAAGTCGGACTCTAATTTTGCTTTTCGGGCCGCTCTGCTGTGACGTCACTACGGATGCTCCGTGGACGGTTGGTTGGTTCATCAGTCTGAGGAAGTTAGTGAGGTGAGTATTTTTCAGTGTTTTCAAGTGCATAAGTCGATAGAAAACGTTGAAACGTGGTTTAAACTTTTTATAAATGTGCTCCAGCAACATGGCAAAATTAAATGAAGCTGTTTTGCTTTTGTAATATGAAATCAATGTGGAAGTAATATTGCATTGCCATAGACTAAAACATTGATGCCTTATAAATCACTTTTATTTTTCTTGTATTACCCATTTTCATCAACAATATGGTTTAATTAAAATCATTTCATTATTGTCCGTGCGGAGGCTATTCCGTTTTATAGATGTGGGACTTTCCGTTATTTAAGGACTATTTTATTTATTTGTAAGGCAATATTTTTTTAAACTTACACTGGTTCAAACTGTATGTTTGATTTATGTTGGGCTTTTAATTGTAGTGTTTCATGAAGGAGGTACACAGCATACATCCCAAGTGTCGTAAGTAACAATGACTTCAGACTGCATGATTAAGAGCTGGCAGTATAAAATAGGAGTTGGTTATTTATTTCCACAGGTTTGATCCTGTAGTTCTCCATCCCACACAGCAGTGGGATGGAGGACTCCAGGAGGACTGGAGTGAAGTTCGCCAATAAATGCTGAAAGTATTCCCTCCGAAGGGGCCAATTTGGTTCAAGCCAGCAAGAATCAAGTCTGGTGTAACGACATATTCTTCATGACACTGTCCCAAAGATGGAATTTGTTGAAGAGAGTGGAGAGATCAATGATGCTGAATCATGCGAAATGAATGATGAACAAAGAGGTTGGTGTCCATTAATCACCACTGAGGAGCCAGCCATTAATGCCTCGTTCAGACTGTCAGTCCAAATCAGATTTTTGTGCTTATCCGATTGAAATCTGATCAGATTTACTAAGTGTGAACGGCAAGAAATCACATTGAAATTCTGATTTCTGGAAATCCTTTTCAATCTGACTGCTTTGATTGGATTTTGCATGGATTATGTAACTTTATTATGCCAAATAAAACATCAGACCTCGGATGCTGTTATAGGACACATACTGAAAGTTGCTGCAGAAACAATCTGTCGTCAATAATTTAGATCAGATTCAAATCGGATACACAAATAATAGTGGAGTGTGTGTGAACGTAGCCTAAGGCAGAGTTTAGCTCCAACCCTGATCAAACACACTTGAGCAAGCTAATCAAGGTCTTCGGGATCAGTAGAAACTCGTTTGATCAGGGTTGAGGGTTGACTCCAGTAATGAGATTGAAGAACCCTGGCCTAAGGCACGTTTCAAAAAAGTTTCTAGTAATCCTTGATTAGCTGGTTCAGGTGTTTTTAATTAGGGTTGGAGCGAATTAGGGTTCCCTTCCAGTTACAGTTTACCAGATTTGGTGGCTTAAGCTATACACAACTTTAGAACAACATTACTTGAGCTGCATAATTTGAATTTTGAACTAATTAATTTAGCGTTTGTCCTTCTTGATAATTTATATGCTAATATGTTTATTTTAGAACTGATGGAATCGAACGAGGAAAATCAGGCACAGAATGAAATGGAGGAGAATCAGGTATCTCACACTTTCATAAATGGAGAACTCTCTTTTAGTGGTTCACAAACCGAGGTGGATTTCAATCAAGAAAGAGCAGATTCACAAAATTTCTGCACCTTTAAGATTTCCAATTTTGGTCACATTGCCAGGGCCACCGCTGTTACATCAATATATATATATATATATATATATATATTTAAAAAATATTTGTTTCTATGCAATGTACATAAAAGACAATCATTGAAATGTGATGGGCTGTACTGGACATTTTTTAAGTAGAAGGACCTTCCATTTTTTGTGATGTATATCATTGAAAAAACTGTGATAAATATTTAATTATTTCACCCAACCCCCATTAGTGGCCTTAAAACCGAGGCCACTAATGTGTAGTATCAATTTACTGAGTGTAGAGAACAAATATTTTCAATGGAGAGTTTCAGTAGTGTATAAACGTTGTACTCAGCCTGGTCGAGGTAACCATGGAGTCATATTCTTGAGGATTTCAGGGCAGTATCAAATTCTGTTCCCATTTAACCTGTTCTAGTTTATTGCAAACTGGAGCCTGCAAGTCCCTTCTGCAACACCAGATGGAGCAACTGCAGATTTTCATTGTGTTTTTGCTTAAAGGGATAGTTCACCTAAATATACAAATTCTCATGCCCTTCTTTTTTCTATTAAAAAAAATACTCTGAGAAATGTTATTCATCCATAAAGTGGACGTTGATGGTCAACTAACCATCAACAAAACGTCATGGAACTACATGCATTTGAGGAAATGATTGCAGATGTATCATTTTTGGCTAAACTATTGCTTTAAGCAAATACTTTTTTAAGTCTTTTGATTACTTTTAGGATTTATCTGATTATCAATTTTCTTATCAACCCCAGATTTGAATTATCGCTAATTCACAACCAAACCAATACAGATTAAAATTTGGTCTGCAAGCCTGATCCATTACTTATGTAGCTTGATAATGACCATTTGGTAACCAAGACTGACTTTATTTAAACCATTTGTTTTATTCACAACCAGAAAGAATTTTGGATTCTGATTTAGACTTTTTTGCTTTTACTAGTTGTATATATACATTGGGTGTTTGTTGCAAAGTCTCACCCATATGAAAGCTCTCCCAATCGTATAGTATAGAAGTCAAATGAGGCAAGAATACATTGATTGAAAGCCCAATGTCAAACAATCCGATATTTTGTTCTCACGCAAACGACCTACATAGCCAGTCAACAACAGTCAAAATGGCATTTTAGAGGCTGTTTAATAATCTTATTTTTATATGCATGTAGTATAACATTTCAATATTGGTTAGCATAAAATTTGATAAAAAAAAATGCTGGGTTGTTTTAACCCAATTTTGGGTAAAATATGGACAAACACAGCCATTGGGTTAAAAATGTCATTTAAAAATGTAACCCAATGGCTGGGTTTGTCCATATTTTACCCAAAATTGGGTTAAAACAACCCAGCATTTTTTAGAGTGTATAATCTTTTTGGTCTGATGAAGGTGAACGTATCTTTGAAACAAAAAAAAGTGCTCTACTTCATTTTTTATGTACAAATCTTTCTCAAAAATGACACCCTAGAATGCATGAATACCTGCACAGTTTATCCAGCTTTAATCTAAAATGTATATAAATAAGATAAAAGAATATAGGGTAACATTTTTGTCCTTGTTATGTACTTATTATTACATGCAATTAACCCTAACCCTAAGTACGTGTTGTAAATTATTATTATTTATTATTAATGTATAATTACACTGTAAGAATGACACCTTAAAGTAAAGTGTAACCGAAAATAGTCCTTTCTCTCTTCAGGGGTTCGCTTTAACTCGGGTAACGCGTGCTGAGTGTTACATCACATATTTTTATGCAATTATGCACTTGCATTTCTAATGCAATATTTGGTGAAGGGCTGAAAAACGAATTGCATTACGCTGTTAAGTAGAGAGAGTGTCATAAGGGAAATGGATAATTAGGCAAGCCATTGTATGCATATGAGTTTCTTGGCCTCTATCCCTTTAAGAAGAGTGAGGAGAGCACGAGTGGGGGAGGGGAACGGGCTGGGGTGGAACAGTCCTGTAATGAGCATATCCTACAGACACTCAGCATCATATGGCTTCAGACCATCATGGATACACACCTTTAAAATATGCACGTGAACATGGACCAAAGAGCAGGACTAGACTGATTTTTGACGCTTTCATCCAGTCTTCCAGGAACACCGCAGAAGGGAAAAGAGCAGCGTTTGGGAACAGATTGATCTTATTTAACACACACACACACACACACACACACGAGCGAGGAAATGCTGTCGAAAACATGATCTAGAGGGAAGGCCGTAACAGCATCCGTGCTTCAGATGCTCTCCTGTATTTCTGAGAGTGGTGTGCTCGTGTAATGTCTGGTTGAGTGCATCAATGCTGCTGCTGCTGTGTGGATCTTTTCGGCTGTGGAAAATAACTAGGCCTGATCTCCACGATCGAGGCTGTGTGTCTCAGCCTGTTGGGAACGAGCGGAGAAGAAGGGAGAAGCTCGCCATCTGCTTTCCCGTTAGCATGCACAATAAAGACGTCCATTACCAAAGGCCGTGCACAAACCGGCTGGAGCTTTAACATTAGGATGGTGTAGCCTAGAATCTTCTTTTTAACCCCTTTAAAAACGCACGAAATTGGCGCAACACTTTCTGCCTGGCTCATCTAAGTCTTCCTTCTTTTTTTTTTTGGTTTTTTCGTGCATCTTTCCACAAGACTTGGCTAAACCTGTTTCATGCATGTCCACTGGAGGCAGGTTTGACTTTGATGATGGGGGGTCGTACTGTGGAGGGTGGGAACAGGGCAAGGCTCACGGCCGAGGGGTTTGCACGGGCCCGCAGGGACAGGGGGAATACGCCGGAGCCTGGAGCCATGGGTTCGAAGTTCTCGGAGTTTACACTTGGCCCAGTGGGAACAGTTACAGAGGAACCTGGGCTCAGGGAAAGAGGCATGGCATTGGCGTGGAGAGCAAAGGGAGGTGGGAGTATAAGGGCGAATGGACACAGGGGTTCAAGGGAAGGTATGGGAAGTTGGAAAGCACTAGTGGTTCCCGATACGAAGGCACCTGGAGCAATGGATTACAAGATGGATATGGGTCGGAGACCTACTCGGATGGAGGTGAGAATCCAATGCTCGCCATATATCGGTGCATGCACACAAATTATGACTCCTATAAGTTGCTGTGCTTCCAATCACAATTGTGCTGAGTAGTGGAAACTATCGGTGCACACATATAAATCAATTTCGGCTTTGAAATAAAAGTACGCTCTAAAAAATGCATGGTTGTTTTAACCCAATTTTGGATAAAATATGGACAAACCCAGCTATTGGGTTAAAACGGCTGGGTTTGCATGGTTGTTTTAACCCAATTTTGGGCAAAATATGGACAAACCCAGCCATTGGGTTAAAATGGCTGGGTTTGCATGGTTGTTTTAACCCAATTTTGGATAAAATATGGACAAACCCAGCTATTGAGTTAAAACGGCTGGGTTTGCATGGTTGTTTTAACCCAATTTTGGGTAAAATATGGACAAACCCAGCCATTGGGTTAAAACGGCTGGGTTTGCATGGTTGTTTTAACCCAATTTTGGGTAAAATATGGACAAACCCAGCCATTGGGTTAAAATGGCTGGGTTTGCATGGTTGTTTTAACACAATTTTGGGTAAAATATGGACAAACCCAGCCATTGGGTTAAAATGGCTGGGTTTGCATGGTTGTTTTAACCCAATTTTGGGTAAAATATGGACAAACCCAGCCATTGGGTTAAAATGGCTGGGTTTGCATGGTTGTTTTAACACAATTTTGGGTAAAATATGGATGGCTGGGTTTGCATGGTTGTTTTAACCCAATTTTGGGTAAAATATGGACAGACCCAGCCATTGGGTTAAAATGTCTGGGTTTGCATGGTTGTTTTAACCCAATTTTGGATAAAATATGGACAAACCCAGCTATTGGGTTAAAACGGCTGGGTTTGCATGGTTGTTTTAACCCAATTTTGGATAAAATATGGACAAACCCAGCTATTGGGTTAAAACGGCTGGGTTTGCATGGTTGTTTTAACCCAATTTTGGGTAAAATATGGACAAACCCAGCCATTGGGTTAAAATGGCTGGGTTTGCATGGTTGTTTTAACCCAATTTTGGATAAAATATGGACAAACCCAGCTATTGAGTTAAAACGGCTGGGTTTGCATGGTTGTTTTAATCCAATTTTGGATAAAATATGGACAAACCCAGCCATTGGGTTAAAATGGCTGGGTTTGCATGGTTGTTTTAACACAATTTTGGGTAAAATATGGATGGCTGGGTTTGCATGGTTGTTTTAATCCAATTTTGGGTAAAATATGGACAAACCCAGCCATTGGGTTAAAATGTCTGGGTTTGCATGGTTGTTTTAACCCAATTTTGGGTAAAATGTGGACAAACCCAGCCATTGGGTTAAAATGGCTGGGTTTGCATGTTTGTTTTAACCCAACTTTGGGTAAAATATGGACAAACCCAGCCATTTTAACCCAATGGCTGGGTTTTTCTATATTTTACCCAAAATTGGGTTAAAACAACCATGCATTTTTTAGAGTCTAGGCATTTTTTTCTTTTAAACATTCAAAATCTCTTCTGTGAGCATGTAACCTATAATAATATAATAATACCTAATATAATATAACCTAAAATATAATAATAATTCTTGAATCCCTCCTTTGGCTTATGCTACTCTATGCAATATCTGAAACTTTGACGTCATTTCAGTCATCTTTTCATGACGACTCTTGCTTTAGTCCTCATTTGGATAAAGGCGTCTGCTAAATGACTGAGTAATAGGCTTATCCACTTCCTGTAAGTTGATCTGAAAGGCTGTGCTTCCAATCACATTCATTTGATAGTTAAATTAGGCAGATGCCTGAAGCAAAACCAGTGGAAAACCACTGTGCATAAGCAATTACACATATTTTCCCTACTATTTAAAAATATATAGGCTACATATTCTACGTTTGACTACACTGGGAAGGGTCACAGCACACATATTGTTCTCCTATTGTTAGTTTAACTGCTTTTGCTCTCCTTATTTGTACGTCACTTTGGATAAAAGTGTCTCCAAAACCAAATTTGGGTCAAATATGGACGAACCCAAATGTTGGGTTAAAATGCAATTTAAAAAAATACTGTTTGGGTTAAAATTTGATATTAAATTTTTTTAACCCCACATGTGGGTTTGTCCATATTTTACCCAAATTTGGGTTCAAACAACCCAGCATTTGTTTTAGAGTGTATGATCTGATCTGTGAGTTAATAAACATAATAAACAGCAGTTCAGTATTAGTCAACCTTCCAGAGTTATAATACGACTGCTTTGCTCTAGAGTATGCTTAAATAACATGCTTTAAAGGATAACATTTCACCATATGAACTGTAATTGACAGCACACGCGCCTCTGGACAGTATATCACCATGGAAACCGACCGACAGCAGGTCATCTGTTTTCTGTGCTCACTGATTGGCTGTTTCACATTCCTGACGTGCTAGTGAGATCAATGCGGAAAAGAGTGGTATACTGTGATTTGGCCATGAATCTTACGCGGAAACGTTTATGTTTGCATCACACGACAGGCGTCCCCTTTATTTTGAAAGATCGAGTTAGATTAGCCTACATCCAAAGCCGAATGCGATCGATGCCCTTAACAACTATGTCACTCGTTAAACGAGGAGGACTGTGATATTTCATCAAACAACAGCGAGGAACGCGTGTGAAATATTTCAGCACCCTGGACAGTTACTGACGCGCGCGGAATCTGGATTAAAGAACACACAGCTTCACATTCGTTCGAAAACGGAATCTCGAACGTTCTTAAATATTTTGAAATGCCTTCATTTCTTTACCTCAATGAGCTCATTGATTCTGCCTTAAATTATTATTACATTCATTGTTTAAATGAAAACATTTTGCTAACTATGTATATTTACATTTCTGAAAGACAGTTTCCTCTGATAACAGATCACTGTAAATTGTTATGTGCACTCGATTTAAAAACATACAAATAAATGTGAATTGAATTAACATGTCACTTCTTATATAATACTGATCAATAGAAATGTGTATTGCAAATGTTAATTAGTTGCTATCGATTTTAACATACTAACTAAAAATTCACCCTGTCTTTTGTTTGTGCACGCACATTTCATTTCCATTTTAAACAGAACATGATATAACATTTATTTTTTACTTGTTTATTTATGATGTATGAACAGGTCACAACACAGTGTGACATTATTTCAAAAGGTTAACAATGAACTCTGGGTCATTAAAGTGAAAAATATCCCATGATTTACTCACCGTCAAGCCATAGGTGTGTATGACTTTCTTCTTTCAACCAAACACAATCTGAGTTATAAAATAAAAAAAACTATCCTGGCTCTTATGGATGCACTTTTGGGGGCTTCAAAATCTAAGGTACCATTCACTCTCATTATAAAGCTAGGAAGAGCTGGGTTATTATATATATATATATATATATATATATATATATATATATATATATATATATATATATGAAGAGTTCAGATGCAAAAGCCTCTAAGTGCCATTTGAAATTTTCTTCTAGAATGATCATTTTTATCAAGCTTGTATATTTAAGTTCAGTAATTTCACTTAAATTGCAATGAGGATTACCTATTAATTGTCATTTAAGTGAAATTACTGAACTTGAATATATAAGCTTGATAAAAATGACCATTTTAGAAGAAAATTTCAAATGGCACTTAGAGGCTTTTGCATCTGAACTCTTCATATATATATAATTCTGATTGCGTCAGGCTGAAAGAAGAAAGTCATATGCACCTAGAATAAATTATGGGATAACTTTAATTTTTGGGTGAACCCTTTAAGCCTTCATTAAAAAAATAACAAATATAAATAAAATATAAACAAGAGTCACAGGGACAAAGAAGAGTTGCATTTAAGTTAATATTTATTCATGATTTTCACTTGAGCAAAGGGTATAACTTCTGGCATTTAACAATATAACACTATAGTACCCAGTCATGATTTTAGAGAGCTGAACGTCTATCTCGATGTAAATTTGCAACATTTTAAACATGATTGCATGTTCGATCAAATTGTCATTCATTGCACAATGACCTCATGGATCAGGAAGATTTTTGCAATTGTTTAAGAAAGCACAGTGGTGTTGTCATTTAGTATTTTTGAGATGAAAATTGGGCTTTTATCAAAATTGTACAAGTGAATCAGGAAGATTTTGCAGTGCAAATCAGTCACAACAGTCACATGTCGCACGGGTATATTTGTAGCAATAGCCAACAATACATTGTATGGGTCAAAATTATTGATTTTTCTTTTATGCCAAAAATCATTAGGATATTAAGTAAAGATCAGGTTCTTTGAACATATTTTGTACATTTCTTATCCTAAATATATAAAACATTTATTTGTGTGAGTGAATGCAGCACAACGGTGAACATAAATGCACAACTTTAAAGGTGATTTTCTCAATGTTTTGATTTTTGATTTATTGATTTTTTTGCATGCACACCACTCAGATTCCAGATATTCAAATAGTTGCATCTCTGTCCTAACAAACAATGCATCAATGGAAAGCGTATTTATTCAGCTTTCAGATGATGTATACCTCTCAATTTAAAGAAAATTCACCCATGTGACTGGTTTTGTGGTCCCGGGTCACATATGTTCTTTGCTCTCTGTTGCTTTCGCAGGCTACACTCACAGAAAAAAAGGTACAAAAGCTGTCACTTTTCAAAAGGTACACTTTTGTACCCAAAGGCTGCATATTGGTACCTTAGTGGTATATCTTAGCACCAAAATGTACATATTAGCACCTGAAATGTACATATTAGTACCTAAAATGTACATATTAGCAACTGAAATGTACATATTAACAGCTAAAATGTACATATTAGCAACTGAAATGTACATATTAACACCTAAAATGTACATATCAACACTTAAAATGTACATATTAACACCTAAAATGTACATAGCAACACTTAAAATGTACATATTAACACCCAAAATGTACATATTAACACCTAAAATCTACATATCAACACTTAAAATGTACATATTAGCACCTAAAATGTACACATTAGCACCTGAAATGTACATATTAATACCTAAAATGTACATATTAACACTAAAATGTACATATTAACACCTGAAATATACATATTCATACCTAAAATGTACATATTAGCACCTGAAATGTACATATTACTACCTAAAATGTACATATTAGCACCTAAAATGTACAAATTAGCACCTAAAATGTACATATTAGCACCTGAAATGTACATATTAATACCTAAAATGTACATATTAGCACCTAAAATGTACATATCAAAACCAAAAATGTAAATATTAGCACCTAAAATGTACATATTAGCACCTAAAATGTACATATCAACACCTAAAATGTACATATTAGCACCTAAAATGTAAATATTTGCACCTAAAATGTAACTATTAGCACCTAAAATGTAAATATTTGCACCTAAAATGTACATATTACCACCTAAAATGTACAAATTAGCACCTAAAATGCACATTAGCACCTGAAATGTACATATTAGAACCTACAATGTACAAATTAGCACCTAAACTGGACAAGTTTACTTTTTGAAAAGGTACAGCCCCAGTGACACCTTTTGTACCTTTTTTTCTGAGAGTGTAAGTAAATTTGCAATGTTTTAAACTAAATCAAATAGCTTTTTAACCACATGAATCAGTCAAATACATCTTTAGGACAGCACAGTGGTGGTGTTGTCATTTGGTGTTTTTTTGGGGGGGCTTGCACGAGTGATATGAATAATGATCTGATCTCTCTGTTGCTTGCGCAGGCACATACCAGGGCCAGTGGTTGAGCGGGATGCGTCACGGTTATGGAGTGAGACAGAGTGTGCCTTACGGCATGGCAGCCATCATCTTCTCCCCGATGTGCACCTCCATAAACTCCCTACGATCCGATCACAGCGAGGGAGCCCCGACTCCAGAGGACGGCTCCGGTGTCAGTGGCGTATCCGGCAGTCCGGTGGGGCGAAGTGGCTTCGTACTCTGTGCTCACAGTGAAGCCGACAGGCACAGAAAGAGGAAAGGCCGATTCCGACAGTCTATACTCAGTGGTCTAAAGCTGCGAAGGTCCGAGTCCAAAAGCTCTCTGGCGAGCCAGTTAAGCAAGCAGAGCTCGTTCTGTAGCGAGGCCGGTATGAGCACCGTCAGCTCGGCCGCCTCAGATATCAACTCCAACATCAGTTTAGGTGAAGCAGAGGCAGGGGGAAGCGTAGATGCCACCGTCACCGAAACGTACGCTGGCGAGTGGAGGAACGACATGCGATCGGGTTGGGGTGTAAGTCACCGCTCGGATGGGCTTCACTATGAAGGTGAGTGGTTTGGGAACAAGCGGCACGGATATGGTTGCACCACCTTTCCTGATGGAACCAAGGAAGAGGGCAAATACAAGCAGAATGTTCTGGTGAGTGGCAAGCGGAAAAACCTCATCCCACTCCGGACCAGCAAGATCCGGGAAAAGGTGGACCGCGCCGTGGAGGCGTCCGAGAAAGCTGCGGATATAGCCAAGCAGAAGGCAGAGATCGCATTGTCCAGGTAAGACTCTCTAAAAGAAAGAGTCATTTGAGCGAGACACAAGTGCTTATGGTTATAATGGTAACACTTTACGGTAAGGTTCATTAGCTAAGAATGAACAATACTTCTACAGCATTTAGCGATATTAATTTCAACATTTAGTGTACGTTATTAAAATCAAATGTTGTTTTTGTGAACATAAGTTAATGCACTGACTGTGAACTAACATGAATGTATTAACCGACATTAATGAAGATTAATACAAATGTATTCATTCATAAAAACTGTAGCATATGTTTTGTTCATTGTTAGTTCATGTTAGTTAATACCAAACGGTCTCTCTCTCTCTTGAATCCAAAATGGAACTGAACTAAACTGCAGTTCATCGACTGGCCACTAGAGACAAAAGAGAATCAATCCCATTAGCACCTGTGTTAAAATGCCTGACTTTACAGCAGAAATACATATGTTTACAGCCTGGTTCAAAACGTGGTTTTGGTCTATATGGCTAATTTTGACCTTCATGACGACTGTGAGAGGGGTGATTTTTTTATAAATCATCCGTTTAAATTATATTAAGCCTTAAAGTTCAGCCTTAAAGTTTATTTTTTTTCTCCATTGGGTCACCTGATGGACTTTTAGGACACCATTGGGTCGCTTTATGGAGTTGTAGGACACCATTGGGTCGCCTGATGGAGTTTTAAGACACCATTAGGTCATCTGATGGAGTTTTAGGACACCATTGGGTCACCCTGATGGAGTTTTAGGACACCATTGGGTCACCTGATGAAGTTGTAGGACACCGTTGGGTCACCTGATGAAGTTGTAGGACACCGTTGGGTCACCTGATGGAGTTTTAAGACACCATTGGGTCACCTGATGAAGTTGTAGGACACCATTGGGTCACCTGATGGAGTTTTAGGACACCATTGGGTCACCTGATGAAGTTGTAGGACACCGTTGGGTCACCTGATGGAGTTGTAGGACACTATTGGGTCACCTGATGGAGTTTTAGGACACCATTGGGTCGCTTTATGGAGTTTTAGGACACAATTTGGTCATCTGATGGAGTTTTAGGACACCATTGGGTCGCCTGATGGAGTTTTAAGACACCATTGGGTCACCTGATGGAGTTTTAGGACACCTTTAGGTCACTTGATGGAGTTTTTTGGTTCCTTGCCGCTGTTGCCTTTGGCTTGCTCAGTTGGGGATATTCAAATGAATTAACCAATCATTAATACCATTGATCAGCTCTACCAAACGTGGATGTTTTTCCACTAAGAAACGAACATTGTTATTATGTTTTGATTGATTCTGTGAAGCTGCTTTGAAGCAATCTATATTGTGAAAAGTGCTATATAAAGGGTGGGGCCATTTGAGTGACAGGTGGATTAGAGCTGATTTCACTACTAGCCGTTTGTCTGCTGTCTGTCTCTTAGCACCACCTCAGCTAATCCCCCTTTTTGCCCATTTTTCCATTATCCGGGAGTGACGTGCTGCCAAGATGGCGACGGCCGGCTCCGCCCACTTTGGGCTTCTAAAATACTCTTCAGAAACACGACGGGTGACGTCACAGACACTACGTCCATTTTTTTTAATGTTCCTAATGTCCTCAGCTCTCCTAATTCCTAGTGTTAACTAATGAAGCTTATTGTAAAGTGTTACCGTTAAATTTTGCCTTGGAGGAATGGATGTATCAAATTGAAATCAAATGCTATTGATCCACTTTATTGCTCTGTTTGCAGGATGAGCCACGCCCGAGGAAAGGCCGAGGCTGGAGAGGGAGTCGCACTGAGAGCCCTGGAGGAGTGCCGTCTGGCCCGGGCTATAGCCAAAGAACTGTCCCCCTCTTTCCATCACTATGGGAACGGTCAGTCAATAAATCAATAAATAAGAAATCCATTCTGTAACATACAGTATGTGCCATAATTGAGCAGTATATCTGTAATGCACATAAGAATGTAATGCTTACTATATTACATGTATTTTTACTAAATTATTTCCCCACCAGTGTTTTTGAAAAAAGTTGCCAACCATCATTTTCACAAAGGTTTTTGTCAAAGACGTCTGGATGTGATTCAGAACGATGGAGTTGATCGAGTCCATCAACACCCCTAAAGCTTCACAGTCCTGTAGCTCGTCACATTTCATTCAGTAACATTAGGCCGTTTTGTGCTGTTTAATGTTGATGATCATGTACATATGCATCTACTTATGCTTTCACTTTTTCTCTTTCAGAAAGCCCCCCCCCCCCCATACAACAAATGCAAATAAAGATCTGTGTTGTTGAGTGTATGAAACAGTGTCAATCACCAGTTGGCCAGTAACATTTCTATGAACTCTAGCACTGCATTGTTGTGAGAACATTAATGTGAACAAACATGAACGACGCTCGGGAAAGGGAGATCGACCGACGCGCACCTCCAGAAAGCCGTGTCTCAGACAGTGTTCAAATACTAAATTAAGCTCTCTTTCATTCCTCCTTGGACTTAAGCAGACAAATTAAGTCAAAAATGCCCATCTCTGCGATTAGTCGGTTACGTTTTTAAAGGAACATAAACAGGAAAAAAAGAAAACGCATGTGTATCATGATATTGGATGTGTGCATTCGGTCTGATGGAGTTTTAAGACAACATTGTGTCGCCTGTTGGAGTTTTAGGACACCATTGGGTCGCTTTATGGAGTTTTAGGAGTCCCAATGGTGTCCTAAAACTCCAACAGGCGACACAATGTTGTCTTAAAACTCCATCAGACCGAATGCACACATCCAATATCATGATACACATGCGTTTTCTTTTTTTCCTGTTTATGTTCCTTTAAAAACGTAACCGACTAATCGCAGAGATGGGCATTTTTGACTTAATTTGTCTGCTTAAGTCCAAGGAGGAATGAAAGAGAGCTTAATTTAGTATTTGAACACTGTCTGAGACACAGCTTTCTGGAGGTGCGCGTCGGTCGATCTCCCTTTTTCCGAGCGTTGTTCATTTTTGTTCACATTAATGTTCTCACAACAATGCAGTGCTAGAGTTCATAGAAATGTTAATTAGGACACCATTAGGTCACATGATGGAGTTTTAAGACAACATTGTGTCGCCTGTTGGAGTTTTAGGACACCATTGGGTCACCTGATGGAGTTTTAAGACACCATTGGGTCACCTGATGGAGTTTTAGGACATCATTTGGTCACCTTATGGAGTTTTAGGACATCATTTGGTCACCTGATGGAGTTTTAAGACACCATTGGGTTGCCTGGTGGAGTTTTAGGACACCATTGGGTCGCTTTATGGAGTTTCAGGACACCACTGGGTCACCTGGTGGAGTTTTAGGACACAATTTGGTCATCTGATGGAGTTTTAAGACACCATTGGGTCGCCTGGTGGAGTTTTAGGACACCATTGGGTCGCTTTATTGAGTTTCAGGACACCACTGGGTCACCTGGTGGAGTTTTAGGACACAATTTGGTCATCTGATGGAGTTTTAAGACACCATTGGGTCGCCTGGTGGAGTTTTAAGACACCATTGGGTCGCTTTATGGAGTTTTAGGACACCATTGGGTCACCTGATGGAGTTTTAAGACACCATTGGGTCGCCTGGTGGAGTTTTAAGACACCATTGGGTCGCTTTATGGAGTTTTAGGACACCATTGGGTCGCCTGGTGGAGTTTTAGGACACCATTGGGTCGCTTTATGGAGTTTTAGGACACCATTGGGTCACCTGATGGAGTTTTAAGACACCATTGGGTCGCCTGGTGGAGTTTTAAGACACCATTGGGTCGCTTTATGGAGTTTTAGGACACCATTGGGTCGCCTGGTGGAGTTTTAGGACACCATTGGGTCGCTTTATGGAGTTTTAGGACACCATTGGGTAGCCTGGTGGAGTTTTAGGACACAATTTGGTCATCTGATGGAGTTTTGTCCCATGTGTTTTTAATGTTGAAAAAGCCCTCCCTGCTCTTGACTGAATAACTTTTGTACATTTCTAAGGATTAATCTATGTTTCATTTATCCAGTGAAGACTATGCAGTGTTATTTTACATTTAATCAGCCTACTGTTTTCAATTTCTGAACCTGAAAACTACTGTTAAACCTACCTGGGAAGCACTGTTTATTTCGTTTGTATCATCGTATTTATTTATGCTATTGCGTATAATTTGATTACTTGTTCTTATTCGACAAAACTCTGCCAAAACACCTCTGTAGATGGAGATCTTATTTTAGAATGCATTACTAATTTGACTGTCCTATATTTCTGTTCACTAGGACTGGAGTGCCAGAGACCGAAGCATAAGGACCGGAAAGAGAATGACCTGGAGGGGGTCTCCACTGGGACGGACAGTCTTGAGCTCTGCACACCAGACACAACACCCCCGGCCCAAACGCCTGACCTGAGCCCGGTTCTGAGCAGCCCCCCCTCACCCCCCTGCAGTCCACCAACCCATCGCACTAGGAACGCTTGTTTCATGCGGCAAAGCGCTGTTGACGAACAAGGAGGGGCAGAGATTCAGGTTCTAGTCGAAGGTAGAGGCATGGACACCATGAGAGCTGGGGCCAACAACTGGACTGCTGAGATGTATCCTCACAGAAGAGGGAGCAAAGGAGAAAGCAGTCGCTCCACAACGCCATCCCTTCTGGAAGAGGAGATCGGTCACATAAATGGACACGAGAACTCCTCGGCTCATCACCCATGGGAGAACGGCTCCTCGAATCACAAGCCCATTGAGCATATGGCCCCTGAGAAGGTCTGGGATCAAAAGCCCTGGAAGAAGCATGTTTCCTCAAATCAAAAATCCAAGGAACATACGATTTCCAGGAAACAAGAACGGGAGCATAAACCATCCAACCACAAGTCTGTTGATTGCGACTCTTCCAAGTTCAAACCACAGGTGCACACATACTCCAATCACAAGTCCGCCGGTCATAACTTGTCCAATCACAAGACCAATGAGCATGCTTCCTCCAATCACAAACCAAAGGAGTTTATTTCTGCACACGAAAAACCACACGTTTCTTACCATTATAGCGCCCAAGAGCATGTTTCCTCCTATCACAAACAACACGAGCATGCCCACTCCAACCACAAGCCAAGGAAGTCCTTTACTAATCATACGATTGGTGAGTCTAGCTTGAATGCATACCAGCTGTCAGATCGTGAAGCCAACAACTCCACTCTGGAATGGACTGTTGAAAACAATTCCCAGTGGATCTCTTCCCATTCACATCTGCAGGAGAAAGAAGGGGAAAGTGATTATCGGGTTGACATGAGGTTCCAGCCCCTAGACTCCGTTTCCCAACAGGACTTTGGCTCTGGCACCAAATGCTCGGGTCCCCAAGGGCACAATTTGCAGAGACTACGTCAACGAAACCACGAAGGCAAAGAATGGGGTCTTGCTGCCAGGGAAGGTTCGATGGACTCTGTGCAGATGCTCGACACCTTGAATGTTGGGGTTGACGTGGAGGAATGGCCTTTGCACAGGGACATTACTCTGTCACCCCCTTTAACGTCTTCTCCAGAACCACTGGACCAAGAACTAGAGCATCTGAACCTGATAAAGGCAAACTCAGTAAGTAAACAGCGTGATGAACGAAAGGTAACGATGTTCTGTATAATACCTTGTACTGTATGTACCAACGCTATCTCACGACCAATTTGTACGAGTGATTAAAAGGGGGCTAATTCGTAGGAATTCGTGCGATTTGTCTAATCTCACGTGATGGGTCAGCCCATTCTCATCCCAAGACGTCATCTAACTGACGCTTTTGACCATACGTCAACATCAGACATTTTAGGGTACCCTTTAACGTCAGTTAGATGACGCTATCCTAGGGCGTCATCTAACTGACGCTTTTGACCATACGTCAACATCCGACGTTTGTACCCTTTAACGTCAGGTAGATGACGCTCTCTAATCCCAACCCTACCCCAGACCTAAACCTACCCACGTCATCTAACTGACGCTAAAGGTAAAGCATCAGTTAGATGACGCCCTAGGATAGCGTCATCTAACTGACGTTAAAGGGTACCCTAAAACGTCGGATGTTGACGTATGGTCAAAAGCGTCAGTTAGATGACGTCTTGGGATGAGAATGTGTTGGATGGGTAGGTTTAGGGACAGGGTCAGAGGTAGGTAATTCGTACGAATTCATACGAAGTAGCCACCTCGTAAAATTGGTACGAATTGCCGTGAATTCGGGTTGGGTGGGTTCAATTTGCTCCAACTCTAATTTAACACCTGGACCAACTAATCAAGGTCTTCAGGGTAACTAGAAACTTGAGGAAGGTGAGTTGGAGCTGGTCGGATCTTCATTCTTCAGGTCCAGGAGTTGAATTTGAGGCTCTCCGCGCGTCGGTCAAAAATGACTGTTTTTAAAATTTTATTTCAATGAAATTAATGTACTATATTTTAGTTCGATTTAATATTTAATATTTTTATGCTATTAAATAATATTTACACTGTATTTAAAATCCATTATTTACTTTCTGAGCATAGACCTGAAAATTAAATTTCCATCTTAAACTATCGTAAATCTTGAACGCTGTAGAGCAGAGACTTAAGTTTGATCTGTTTTCAGAGATTACACTTGGCAGATTATTGCTGAGTGGAAAAAAGTTGGATTGTAAATGAAAAAGAAAATGGACCGGATCGTACGTTTATTGTTATTTAAAAAATATTTATTTTCAAAAACCCGTTTTACTGCAAGAAAATCAAAGCCATAAATATAAACAAGCTGTGTTCCAAATTTGAGATTGATATCTCCAAAAATGAGCTTTCGGTAAGATTTTGTTTGGCCGCAGTACCAAAAGTTTCCACTAGATGAAATTCGTCTCCCATTCATTTCAAGTGGGACCATTTAACCTTTTCAACTGATGTCCATGATTTTGTTTTGTGTCATATGATTATTTAATATATAGCATATATTGGATGCGATTAATCGTGATTAATTGTTGCCCAGCACTAGGTTAAATACGTTTAAGTTTAATAAATCAAACAAAATGCTACTTTTTAGTGGTTTAAACATGTTTAAGCTGGTGATGTGATTAAAAGCCGTTGAATGTGCAATACCATATTTCTAATGGCAACATTTTACTCTCTTTCTACAGGGCTCCAGCTCTATCCTGGTGGTCTTGGTGATATTACTCAACATCGGTGTAGCCATTTTGTTCATTCATTTCTTTATTTAATCAAATGGCCTATAGAATGTCAATAACAGCATTGATCAAGAGTAAGATATGCACACTTAGCACCACTTCTTAATGTAAGGAATCCAAAAATTACAGTAGTAAATATCTGTGTAAGTTGGGCAAGTCCATGTAAATTGTAAACTTCTTTTATGGTTCGATTTATTATATAATTCCATTATAATCCATTAGTTAACTTTGCTTACTTTTTTCCTCCATTCATTCACAATAAAGGTCCATTTACAATATTCTGTAGAACTATTACGCACATTTAGGTTTTTACAATACGGCTCGTCTGATATGATTTACACAGGTTATTTCACTTTTTTTTCTTTTCAAATGCACATCAGGCCTGAGACATTATTGAGTAGCGCGATTTTGAAGATTAAAGACGGTCTTGTGGTTTTATGTACTATGATATAGTTGATGTAAGGTGCAGTTCACACTAATATATAACCACCCTCCACTGTATTCCAGGGTACAGCCCTTTATGATCGCTGCATACACTCATCGCATCATCCATTTAAACGACCTTTTCATCTACACACCCAGATTTGACACACACTTAGCTATCTTCAAGGGCTTCATCATTCTCATTCAACTCACACACTTTTAATCAGACAAGCCTGCAGAACGCTTTCCACGCTCACAACAATCACTGAATTTCAGCACAATCCAGTCGTGTAGTTCGTTTTTCGATGCACCGAAAACACATTCACCATTGACACAATGCTAAAGCAACTTGTGTGTTTTTCTCGTACACCACATGATGTCACATCTGCTATATGACATAAAAGTACAACAGAGGTGCAGCAGTGGTTGAGTAATCCGGCTAATACTCGATAAAGTTTAGACTGTTTTCAATGTATTATTCTATACTACTGAACGTATTTTAACGAGTTTGCAAGATATCATTGATATGCTGAGTGCCTTTTTTAATTGAGAAACCATCCCAGCGAGCAGGTTATGTACTACTACAGGCGACCGCTCTTACAGAGGTCACGTGAAACGGTTCGTCTCTATCCCACCTAACCTTTGAACAAATCAAGTTTTGGCTTAAGAACTGATCCTAAGCCTGTGGAGATTTTTACAGCATGTTTGTTAGCCTGTTCTCTTCTGCTGTTACTCTGTGTGATTTTCTGCCTGTCTCTCTGTCCAGCAACGTAGATAACAATTGGGACTGAAAGCAGTGTAAAAATACCAGCTTATGTTTCTCAGTGGGACCTGACTGACATTATCTAAATTAATGAATGATAAACTGCTATTGTATATTTTATACTACTCATCCAGTGATATCATGTTGTGAGATCATTGCATGCCTAAGCATGCCCTTTCTTACGCAATGATTTATGAGATTGTTTCCAAGTTATGTGGAAAATTAATAAAATGTTTGAGGTTATGTTGTGACTTGTGTCTTTATAAAAAACAACAACATTTTTCTTTTGTCAAATCAACAGATAACATAATATTTTGAGTTTCTAATGCTTAAATCAATCTCCTTCCTTGTATTAACTCAATGAACTTAAAATTTTAAGGCAACCAGGTTATTTCATTTTTTAAGTTAAACAAAGAATATTTTTTACAGTGATATATGCCGATCCCACCAAAAAGACATTATATGAGGAGATGAGCTAGGCCTACATAACATATTTAAAAATAAATACAAAGAAAAATTACTTTAAATTAGCTTGAATGTAACTCGACACCCTTGCTTTGAATATGCAAATTAGCCCCGCCTCCACTCACTCACATCGCTCAGCTTTACTGTAGTAAATGCTACACAGTGACAATATTGGTTTAATTCAGCCATATACGTTTAAACCAGAAACTGATTCAGAAAAAGAAGAGGAAGAGCGAATTATACAGGATTGTCTTTTGTATTGTTTATCGCTATCTATTAATTCGGTCACATAACGGTATATTGATTATCCTTTGGCTGGATTGCATTATCAAACAACCACTAATGAGTTGTTCATTTTATGCCTGCGTGGTTCAGATTACACTTTTTTTTGTCTGTTACGATATCACTGTTTCAGATCATTCCTGACCAGTCGTCGCATGCCGTCTTTAACGGCGCACGTGATGTCATCGAAAAGGCGAAACTAGTAGCGAGTGACTTCCGGAAGCGAACGTAAACAAACAATGGATAAAGCGGTGAGTGTTGTATTGGCTGTCCTGTGTTTAGAAAAAAGTCAAAAAAGGAAAGAAAACCCGACAATGGACACGTTCCTGGATTGCTCAAAGAGGACAGTAGGGCTGTCAATCCTCCAATGAGAACTTGAGGTAAAATATTGTTTTCTTATATATTTCTAATTTTAGTTTTAACGTTAACATCATCGGCGCGCTTCGTTTCGCCATTTTTGAAAGTTGTGTACAGAAAAGCTTCTGTGCTCCTATTGGTCAACCTCATACATGTGACGGAACCGTCGTGGACGACCGTTAAAAAAATTAAACATGCTAGTCTTTTTGTCGTGAAGCATCGCAGACGCGACGTAGGTTGTCGCCCACTATGACACACTAATACGAGATGATATGATCGAATCTTGTGTCCAGACGCCCATTGTCCTTTACGAATCCGCACGACACCCTACGTCACACGGATCGTGACAAAATCGGGCTAAAATCGTGTAATCTGAACCAGGCATTACACAAACCATGTACCCTTTTGTCCGAGTCAGCTGTCTTATATAATAATCATCATAACTTTGAAAATTATAGAAAGTCGGCCCATGTTTGTGACGGTTGAAAACAAGGGTGTGTTTAAAGCGTGTCTTTCTTTGGTACACTGAAGGTTTAATAAAGATAAAATACTCATAATGTTGAATTTGCACATGATTTGAGTTGATGCGAAAACACCACATTTCAATCCTTCGCTCTTCAAGATGAAGCTTCCTCGGGGGAATTAACAATATGGTCACCAAGTGGACTGACTGAATTTAATTAAAGGACTGAAATTCATAAATTTGTTCTACGAATGTTTAGCTAAAAACGTTATTTCTGAATGTTCTCAGAAAAATGTTTTGAACACATTTTTTTCTTGGTTATAACTTATGTGAATGTTAGAGATGTCCTTTTGCAAATATGATGGGAACGTTACTTTAGATATAGAAAGATAGATTGCTTGCACTCTTTCACTGACTAGATGTGTTTAATGTCGGCCACTTTTTACTGGTAACTTAGGAAATTTGGCATTATCAGGACCCCTAAATATTCCCCCATTGCATTATTATACATTATATTCAACATTATAGTAGTTTAATAGTGCTGACACTAAAACTCTGAAAACTAGATTTTTTTCTCACACAGTAATTTATATTTTGGGTGAATTATCCACAATATCACTTATTAAAAAAAGTTGGGTTTTTTTGTTGAAGTAAATACTACTGTAAAAAAACAATGTAATGTACATGAAAAAATTAGTTAGAAAAAAGTTAGTTCATGCAGGCAAGAATTAAAAAAACTAAGTAAATTCCATATCAGTACTTAATTCAAGTGAGTAGAAATAAAGTGTCAATAAAATTAAGTACAAATTACTCAACTTTTCTGATACTGGGGTTCCCGTCATGCACTGGACCTTGAATAATTAATAAGGTTAATTTTTCTCTAGTTTCCAGCTGTATTTACATTGTTTTATCTTTTTTTGTTGTCAGTATTAGTAACTTGCCATTTTGTGCCATTTTGAGTAAATTTTTAGCTCAAAATTACACATTCAAACACAAAAACGACCATCAAATGTTACCGCCACTGTGTATTGTCTACCAAGTATTGAGGTCTTTGCATTCACAATGTCTGACATGATGTAATATAAATTATTTAGATGACCTAATTAAAGCACATACTATAAATGAGTAATAAAATTCAATATTATTGTTTTAGTGAAATGTAATGCAAAGGCAAAGGAAATTTAAACTAAATCGATATTAATCAACCTTTTACTAGCCAAGTTAAAATTACTTATTTTCCGTAGTTTACTTAATTCCATATTCCAAGTAAATTTAACTTAAAGATTTCCAATTGAAGCTACTGATAAATATGTTTAGGATTTTACTTGGCAAATTTGTAAATTAACTAGCATTATGAGTGATAGATAGATAGATAGATAGATAGATAGATAGATAGATAGATAGATAGATAGATAGATAGATAGATAGATAGATAGATAGATAGATAGATAGATAGATAGATAGATAGATAGATAGATAGATAGATAGATAGATAGATAGATAGATAGATATTTCAGAATACACAATATCTAAATTGCACATGCTATTTAGGCTACTCTAAACCAGTCCATAGGCTATGCACGTTGCAACGCCATTGTGAGGAGACACGCTTACTTCACTATTTGGTTATTTTGACTAATATAATGCTATTTTACAGGGTTGAACGAGCTGTTTGACAGTTTCGCTGGAATAAAATCAGTGATTTTCCATCGCGTTGATTCCGCCCATCTCTTCATCGGGGGGCTGGTCGTAGAGGTCCGATGCGTCACGTTTATTTGGGCCTTCTGCATGATCCCGCTGGCAGGGAAGCGCCCGAATTTTTTCCTCCCTGCCTTAAAACGTCCTGCATATATTTATTACAAGTGTGGATCTTCGGGATAACAAGGCATCGAAGGGGAAAACGCGACGCAAAGTAGGTTAAAGCCCGCGAGGTGCGGCTGAGCCTCTTTTAACGCAATAGCTAGTTTAGCGTGCTGGTAAACACACACTCGCATGGGGCTTTGCGTATCATTTGCATCCAGATCTGCAGACGCGTTTTGATTTTTTGCAGATTAAGTCTTTATTGCATGTGTTGTTTGTGATTCTCAGCAAGTGTGGCGATTGCAGAAGGTCAGATTGATAGAGGAGAGCATTAGCATCGCCGGCTAGCTCTGGCTGCATCGAGCAAAAGCTAGCTGAAGTTTTCTTTAACACAAACTGCGAATAAAAAAAGCGAGGTGGTTTAACGATATGGTTTTGCATATGGATGTCTGATATCCAAACATGGCTTATGTTCTGCACTGGACGGAGAATTGAAACCATCAAAGGGAATTCCGCATTTCTCCCATTTTTTTTTCTCTTTCTTTTAAGGCCAGCAGGCAGTCGGCTTTACAATTCGTGTATTTTACCTTCATATTTACATTGTGTGTATTGCATGGCATGGTTATTTGTGTTGTATTAATAATGCATTTTGAACAATATATATATTTTTTCTTGTTAAGAGTGTGTGAGCATGTTGTAATGGGAATCCTGATTTTCTGGTTTTCTATTTGAAGTCATATACAGATTGGATCACATCAGTGTTATTCGATATATCTTGTAAATGTGATTGGTGTAGTAAATATTAGTAAGGGCAAATATTACTGAGTAAGAGTCTTCTGCATGGAAAGTGTAGGATTTTTTTTCTTCTTTTTGTGGCAATTGGCTCATAATTTTATGATCTTAGAATGATAATAATAAATAGATTTATTACTGACTAACTGAATTACTGTCAATAAATAGATGCATATATATGTATGTGTGTGTGTGTGTGTGTATGTATTGTATATAAATCTAATAAGAAATACACATAATATAAGTAAAAACAATTTTCTTAGATGTGATTAATCAAATTTGACAGCATATTTACATACTAATATACTAATGAATGCAACGACAAGCTATTTCAGTGTTAAGATTTCTTGTTATAATTTTTTTCATCAAAGTTTGCTTCGTACATTAAGTTCAACTGCATTAAAGAGTGCAAATGTTCTCATTCAACTGAACTGAGTTTATGCATTTTAAAGGTTTTGTTCTTCATCCTTGCAATAAATGAATGAATGTGATTTTAGCTCATTTAATGGGTTAGTTCACCCAAAAATAACAATCATTAACTCACCCTAATGTTGTTCCATCCAAACCCTTAATTTCTTTCTTCTGTTAAACACAAAAAGAAGATAAATTAAGAGTGTCAGAAACCAAAAGGTTTATGGGCCTCATTGACTTCCATAGTATTTATTTTTTTTGTGTGTGGAAAAAAAGTCGCACAGATTTGGAACAATTTAATTATTTAAGATTTTATTTCAAATTCACCTTGTGTGATAACCATTCAATATGATCGTACTCAAAACTCATGTTATGATTTATACAATTCTTATCCAGTATAGGGCTGTGAAGCGATTAATCGCATCCAAAATAAAAGTTTGTGTTTGCATAATATATGTGTGTGTAGTGTGTATAATTATTTTGTATATATAAATGCACACATATGCATGTATATATATTTAAGAAAAATGTGTTATTAATATATCAAATATTTATATTTATGTATAATATAAATTTTGTATAAATATATACATGCAAATATTTCTTAAATATATACATCCATACAAAATAATTATACACACCGACCACACACACACATATTTTATGTAAGCAC